GAAAGGGCTCATTTTGGAGCTATTTTTTCAACCTATTCACCATAAAGGTTTAAACGAAAACTGTCGAAAAAAAATTCTGCGCGACAACAACCTTAAATTAAAGTTTTCATTAAACAATCAAGACATTATACAGCAATACAATTTTCGAAGTTATAAACATACTTGATAAGTTTTTTTAGATTTTATTTAAATAGAGTAGTAGATAATCCATTGCTGATTTCTCAACAATGATTATTAATTAAAAAAATCCCCCTAATTCCTCCGGTTTTCTTTATTTGGAGATTTATTTCCACATATACAGCGGTCACATTTCTCGGGTTCCAGAGACAATTGTTCTTCCGATCTGAAGCTATCGGAGGACTGAATTTTCTGCAGAAGAAAAAAACGAGTTTTCAAAATTACAATTTCATTTATCTCCAAAATTCTCTAAAACCTCGACCACGCGATAAAGATGACCAAAAAGCGAACCGATAAATAATCGCAAATTCTCTTCAAAGACTTCACTCCGGAATTGCGAAAAAAATATGTAACTTCAATAAAAATTTGGTGTCACCTCAAATAATTCAGCCCAAGCTAAATAGCTGCAGTGTACAACATAAGAATAACTGGTTTCCTCCATGAATTTCCAATAACCCTCACGAATCGCCTGATCAATAATTTCCTTGCAAATGACTCTAGCGAAATCATGCAATTTCAATTCGCCGATTTCCGTGGATTCTTGGATCGTCACATTCGATCCATTTTCCTCTTCCTGAGAATCAGAAGAATCCAAGAATTCCGACATGATGTTCCCAATCAATCACATCCCCCTATATCAAAAAATCAAGAGACTCTTCATTTGTTTTAATTTTGATCAGTCGATTTACTCCATGATCGATTTATCTCAAAAGGATCGGCCATTGCCCTAAGAATTAAATGGCAGAAAAAATCGGACACCTCTTCAATTCTTTTGTGATTAACTGTTGAAACTTGAAGATAATTGATAAAAAATTGAGAGCGCAATTCCTTAAAACTTCCATAAAATGGCAGTTTTGTAATAGAATAATAAAGAATAATAAATATAATTTATAATATAGAATAATTAAGCAATTACTCGATTTCTTCCTCTATTTTAAATTAATCGATCCTTGTAGCGCATCTGGAATGTCAAACCAATCGGAGTTTCATAACAGGATCCCAGAATATGTGAGGAGTTACCCGACGCTTTCCGCCATTTTATCGACTGCCTTTGAAATAATTAAAATGGCGGAAAACACGGTAACTCTTCAATTCAATTATATTACGATTGATCCTCACCGCTGAAGTGCTAATTGTAACCTATAGCTGTTTATTAATAAAATACCAGACAAGGTATTTAATGTACTTGAACATTACCGCAGAATCTACCCATTTTCTCATTTCTATTTAGTCTTAATTATAATTATAATAATGAGGGCGTGTCGGGTTGTCACGCGATGCAGTCCTCAGCGGCTTTCAGAGGGTTACACTAATTAATTACACTTGAATATCGAAGTAATACGTCGATAGTTCATGCGAATATCAACTGCAATCGGAGATAATCATGAACTCTCACGATTGCTCTTCACGGCTCAATTCCTCAACAATTTTCGTCATGAACGCGTTAATTTTCGCTTGTTCAACACCTCCAGCACAACTCATTCCAGGAGTAATTACATCACCAGTACTCATACATTATTTCGAATAATTTACGTGCACTGAACATTCATTATTCGGATTTATTGGTGTTTGTTATTAATTCGGTACCCACATACGAGGAATTCATGTTTAAACAGATTAACAACTACAACGTGATATGAAACCGGAAGTGGTTTTTATTCGGCTTTAATTTGTTTTGTTGTTTATTGAAACAAAATGTCCGCTGAATACACCTTTGGGAAATTATAATTGAAATTTCAGATCAAATGGGCGAGTTCGTTGTTGACCAATTAATTAAATAATTAAATGGTAATTCATTCAAATAACTAAATAATAATAATATTCAATAATTTTTCGAATACTCTGGTAATTCATGATTTTCCATTTCGCGAAAATATTGAAACAACATTTTACCTGAATTTCAATGATAATTTTTTATTAACGAATTAATTAATTAATATTCTTCAAATTTTTCTCCTAAATTAATAAACTTCTCCGGGAGTTAATGATAATGATATTGAGGGAAATGAACCGGAAAATTTCCATTTGTGAATTTTTTTGTTGTCAGTGTTTTGTTGGCAGAAGTAATTATTTTTCAGTGTAAATGAGTTTTTTTTTTTTTGTAATCAGTGGTGAAATACCCCGACCTCAGGGGAACCAAATCAATACGTTCCTAACACTTGGGGAAGATCTTTGCCGACAAAACCGACACCTGTCGGGACTTGGATCTGATGAACCCTCTGAGGGTCATTTCGGGATGGACTAATAGTCGTGTCGCAAAAATTCGATCATAAAACCCGTCGTAAAACAAAACTTTTCCCTCTGCTTCCGTCATTCTCTTTCAACATGTACCTCCATTAAATAACTCCATGAACTTTACGACAAATTAATTTTTCCCAATCTGCTCGGAATAATTCAATAACAAATTACAAAGTGCGATAAGTCGAATTTTCCAGTTTATTACCGATTTATCGATTTAGTCTATAAAAAACGGAGGAAATATGACGGAAACATTTAAATTACCGTGTATAATAATTTTATAAATAAAAAATTACATTAATCATTATTATCAATCATATTATTACAAATAAATTATTCAAATCATTAAAAATCTAGAAAATATTTCTTCGATTGACGGAAATTCTTCAAGATTTAAAAACAGTAATTTTTCATGAATAATTTATTTTTAAACAATAAGTCCGGTGTTTTTTTTTATTTAAATAAAGAATATAATATAAATCGTCGAAACGTCAGAAATTTTCCGAAAAGAGGAGAATTTTCATGGGAAATAAAAGCAATAAATAAATAGTATTGACGCATAACAATTGATATTATTTAAATTATTAATTCATAACGAGCTAATTAATTGAAAAATGAATGGTATAATCATTACTATCAATTCGGAAAAGGAAATAAAAGCAGAAAATCTCTGGAATGAATATTCATGGGATAATAATGAAACGGGCGAGATAATTAAGTTTTATTTTTTTTTTTTAAGATTATTTCGGGAGTACTTGCGGGTCTTATCGGAGTCGACTAATTGAGTCAGTAATCATCTAGCGGCGATAAGACATTAATTTTGAAAACATCTTCAGTATCGGAATGTAATTTGAATTTTGGGGGTTGATGAGATCTATTAATTAAAAGTTCGTGGCGGACTGCAGTCTGGGGGAAACTACTCGATTTAATCTGCAGTGAAACTCGCGAGTTTGGATACTGTTTCGAGTATAAGTGGTCGATCATGCTCGAGGGGTCGTATTATCAGCACAATTGCGATATTCTCAACGAGTTTTCCGCTTTGGCGATTTTATGTTTACAAAAGTTTCCAAAAGACCAAATATTGTTTAAAATCTCCGGAAATTTCTTCAATCCTGAAATATATGAGTGACAATGCAATTTCAATGGCAAGCTCTTTATAATTAACGCTCAAAATTTATAAGATTTTAATTTTAAATTAATTTTAATTTAATTTTTCATTTTAAAAGTCAAGGAATTTAGCTTTTCATGTTGAATAATAATTTAATTTTGTTGTTGTTTAAGTATTTTTATTCAAAAATTCAATGTCAAAGTTGAAAGCTGAAACTAGAGAATTAACAGAATATTAAAGAAATTGTATTTGTTAAGGAAAATTTGTTAAAAATTTCAATTATAATTTTCCAATGTAATAACAAATGAACAAATTGACCAGTTAAATCGCGAAATCATGATTATTTTCTATTTTAATTGATAAATTGAATATCAGAGTCTCATCTTCTTTATTTTTTCAAAAATGTTTTTTAAAAATTTCTATTTCTATTTGGGAGCTGCATCGCGAAAATTAAATAAACACTTCATATTTCAGTTGAACTATTCCGGAAAATGTTGCAAAATGATTTCTAACGCGAATCGAGGGGAATTCATGCAGCAAAATGGCGACCAATGAATTTCCATCTGGACATTTGAAAAATTGCATTTTTTTAAGAGTTGCGTATTTTTTAGGGGAATTTTTCAAACGAATTTCTCTCCGTGTATAGTCCTTTTGATACTCAACTCGGTGTATTCTCAAATATCATGACAGTGTGTACGTTTCAACGGATGATTATTTACACACGGTGTGTGCGCCAGACTTTTGATTTATTTACCCTAAATTCTGGCTGCGTGCGTAGGTGGTGTACCTTCGGCTTCTATTCGTACTCTTTATTTCCTTTTTCTTCAGTATTCACGCCATTTTACCGTTTCAATTTTTCCCACACCGTTAAAAAAAAAAATCAACTAAACACGAGAGGGAAAATTCAATAAAAAATACGTGGGCGTTCGACAATTCTTGTCGTCCAATGAGTTTATCAGAAATATCTCCGCATTCGGGGGAGATAACGAAATTTTTGTAAAGACCTTTTCTGTAGATCGAGATGAATGCCACAAAAATTCTTTTCACCGAAATTCCAATATTTCTCTTAGATTTTGAGATATTTGGGAAAAACCGGCGATTATAAATGACCGCGAGCTGTTTTTCCGGTTTGCTGAGGATAGGATTGCCGTTTTCAAGAATTTTTAAGAATTCACTTGAGACTTTTCCAATTGCACATATTTCGATATATTCAAAATTCAAATGTAGGATATAAACAGAACTGTCGATTTCCGCTCGATTTTTCCCCGCAAATTTTTGAAAATCAAAATCATCAAATTAAATTCGATAAAAATATTTATAATCGATAAAAATATTTATAATCGATAGAAAATCGATCAGTAAATTTACTGATCAGGAGTTACTCAATTTTCAAAAAGATTTCTTTTTCATTATTATTTTTATTATTACTTCCTCATCCCCTGGAATTAACGAAATGCGAAAATTCCTCATGCGCAGACACTCGAAATTCGTTCCCCCGAAATTCCCCAGTTAATGTCACATCCCATTCGATTTATATCGCGATAATAAAATCGTAATTACTAGGTAATATGAATATGACAAAAATAGTTGTACCGCGAGCCGATGGTTATTGAACGTATGTGCCCCGGAGTATGTGGCACATGCGCATCTTATTCAATGCGAAAAATCTAAAAATAAATGTCCAGGTATATTGTGTATACCGCAATCATAATTCATCGAGGTAATTATTAAATATACACCGAGGGGATCACATCTATTCGTTGGAGCGCGGCACTGCATTCGCGTTTAACGCGCAAATAAATTTTCCGACGGTAAAAGTTTAAAGGAAAAATAACAAATTCTTGAGGATTCCATCGTTATTCTGCAGATCGATGATTGCGGGTGTGACAAGTACTTTTATAATAATTATTCGATTATTCGAATTTTCCAGCAAAAAAATTTTCCACCAAAAGAAAATGTTCAATGAAAAGTTAAGTCATTAGCGTAATTACATGAAGAAAGTAATGACATTAATTGCGGGACATCTGGTAAAATATCACGTGCACCTTAAAATTGAGAACTGAATATTCAAAAATTTTTGAATATATAATTATTATTTAATTATTGTAATTGAATGAAGAATTCAGCGTCAATTTATGAAATAGAGAATTACTTGGAAGAAAATCATTTGTCAATGAGGAATTGTTAACAATTTCAAGGTTTTTTAAACAAAATTTAAGGTGCAATTTTCCAATGCTATAAAGAAACCAATAATTTAATGAGAAATATTGTGGAATCATCGCTTTTCCCAATTTT